GTGGTTCGCGAGAGCCGAAACCGGTGATTTTGGTGGTGAATCTTCGGGAACAGAAGATCGCCTTGCCGATGAGCTCGATCTGGAACCGCGACGCACAACTTTCCTTCCGATCGCCATTGAGACAAGATCTGAAGCTCGATTCGAAGATAAAACGCGAAATTCGTGATTCGTGGCGGAATAACCAGAATCTTTCGCAGAGAACGATGAATCGTGAGATTCAAACGATTAATCTTGAGCAAACGAAGGAAGATCAAAGAAATTGGAAGGATCGAAAGAGATTTTCAATCTCTTGCTCTGATACCATGTTAGAGAGCTTGAAGAAGCTTGAAGAAGATAAGATTGAAGAAAATGAATTTCTGTTATTCATTCAACGTTCGATTACAATCTGTTCATATTGACTCGATTTAATGTAACAACCAACTAAACCAAGCAACAATTGAACCAAGTAAACCGTAAACCGGTTATCAACACTTAAGTCTAATAGATAATTAACTCAACTAAACCAACACTAACCAATACTTTTAACCATGACTAAACCAATCTATATACTCTAATATGACTTCTATTCATGTCCTGGACTTACTGTGAATGTGTTCAGTGACACACTTGAAGAGCTTCCTCGTATCAAGAATCACCAGGACATGATTCTCTTTAAAGGCGTTAAGGTACAAGAACTTCTTGAAATGACTCTTTTTTTTCCCCTTTGTGCTTTGGTTTTGTCAGGGAATATAATATCATAGTTGTGGGATGTTTTTTCTTCTTCTAATTGTAGATAAAATCTTTCAATGGTGGAATAAATGCAGCCTGTAATAAACGTGTTTCGTCCTTTGCGCTGTATGAAAAGGGTACCAAGGATTATGTATGTTACCAATGCACTTCAAATTTTCATGGGGAAGAACAATACAGGAGTTCAATAGATGATCTAGGCCAATTCTTTGCCACTAGCAGCAGAGTTAGTGAAGGTAACTAGAATGTTTCTGCTCTCAACTTTTTCATTTTGTTTTTCAACATTTATAACAATGTCTGATAAAGATGAGAGCAGAAAACAAAAGAAACATTGTATTATTATATAGTTGCATGAACAACTGTGAAATGATTCTGATAAGCTTTGATTTTTCTTCCTCTTGTGGTTTCTTAGCTTTGCAGAATGCATCTCACACTCTAGAATATTTTTCAATCTTTCGAGAGACCAAGGAAGGAGAATGCTTTGATTTGGTGTGTAGGGTAACATGACTTGATCCTTACCTTTGCTCCATACTCTTAATTAACATAAAAGCTCTGCAGCTCTTAACCTAGCACGTCATGATTACTTTAACTAATCTTACCTTTTTTTCTACCTCTTCTCGTAATGGAGATCCTCCATGTCGATGAAGATCTGAATGCCGTTTTTGTTTGGGATGGAACTGATGCACCCCCAGTATCTATTCTAGCAAAGTGAGTTTGAAAGTGTGAATTAAAAAAGTTTAAAATCCTGGGATCATTGATTCTTAGTAGTTTCTTACATATAGACTAGATCAATCATGTGTTGGTATCATATACTCAAGGGAAACTCTGAGAATAGATGTTAGTATTGCACCTCTTGACATTCTCATCTTTAACTTTTCCAACTTTTACGCTTTCCATATTATATGCTTACTAAAATAAAACCTAATTTCTCTCAAACAGAGCCGCCTCTGCCTCTACATCTCCGATCAAAATTTTCACG